AGCTCTAATAAAATTAATAATTAATTAAACACTTTAATTAATTAATTAATTCTATTAATTCCAATTGCTACTCCACTATAAACTTGGAATTACACTCTCAAATTTATAGATATAAATTACTTCTAAACTGTGAAGTGTCCATTTGATATAATCATTGCATATAGATCAATCTTCCATAAATAATTCATAATTAGAGCAAGGTAAAATCCGTTAACCTCTCTAATTACTTCTTTATCCTTGAATCGGAGCTCCTACTGGTCCAAGTACCGAATCAACCCTCAAGAGAATTATTTATCTACTTCTTTGTTAAGAATGAATGGATTCCATCTCGTGTAATAACATTCCCGGCTACCTACTTCATCATGTCTCCAAAATACAAGGAATAGGATTCAGGATCTCAGAATCCGTACCGAGTAAATCAAAAGACACAAATCCATAAATAGGAGTCTGTTAAGAACTCAGGATTAAGATCATCCTATATATGACCATCGGTAGACTCAATTAGAATTTCTATACTTAACGGAATTATTAGAAATTCATATTGTGTCTGTGTCCTTATTCCACATAATCTCATTATGCGAAATACATTCATTCAATATCTCGCCATATTAACAGTGCGGATAACACCGTTCCATTCTAAATAGGAATGACATGTATTAATAATGTTTTAATTAAAGATTTCAAACTTTAATTAAATTCATTATAAATATTACTTTTTTATTATTATCCTTAAACATTATCCTCTCGTATATAACACTTATATACAATGTTTAAGGTTACATAAATAATCATGGAATTTTTATTGATATTCATAAAATATTCATAAATATATGCACATAAAATAATGAATAAACTCATTTATTAAATAAATAATAAATATCCTATTACATCTAATGCTTCTAGGACACCATTCCCAACACAAACAACCATGGTTTCAAAGTCATATTAGTTCCCTGACCCCTCACCGTCCTTCCACTTCTCCATCCTACCAAACAAGCTCTAAGGACTTTTTTTAAGATTTAAACATGAAACCAAAAATACCAAATGAAAAAGAAAAAAAATAAAAAGAGCGAGAAAAAATGGAGGTGGGTTTGATATGCTAGTTACAAAGAGTTTTTCTTGGAAATCTAAAAAAGTCTAACGGAAATGCCACAAATAATATTTCTCAAAGTCATTCGATCAGACAGCGCCACTAGCTTTTCATTCTCCTTTAGCTAAATTCTTGTCATTTTGTTCTCTCATCAATGATGCTTTGTTCTGCTATGTTTGTCAGTAGATTTCCAATTTCAATTGATCTCATGGTACATGAACATGCATAGGTTGCAAACATTGTTTCGTCAAGCATACAACCTTTACAAAATCTAGAAACACTGGTAAGTGTCCGGATTCATTACTGCTTTTACTTATCTATTCGCTTTTCAAAATATTATCTTTGAAAAACATTGTTAAATTGTTAGTTATTTACTAGTCATGCTGCTGCTTTTCCGTTTACAGAAATCTATTGAAGAAAAAGCCGGTCCTCAAGAGGCACTTGATTGGATTAGATCTCATATTGGAAAAGGCTATGAAGGTTAGTGTTTCCTAACCAAAAAGACAACTATCTTAAGAATGGAATAAGCACAATGTTGTGTTAATTGACGGGTTTAAGTTTGGTTTTCAGTGCCAAATGCGCAAATTATAATGATGTTGCTATGTAAAATTTGTGGAATTCAAGGTAAAATACCGAATGCTATTTGCAACTTTTGCAGCGCTTGAAAAACTGCTGAAAGACTATGCTGGAAGATATGCAACTGGAGATGAAGTGTTCCTGGTTTGAAAGTTTCTTCAATTAAATGATCATTTACTGTTTTTGTGTATGCTAGTTGGTTTTGAAAATAGCCCTTCTTTTTAATGTGTGCATCTGCTACTAGATGCAAGCTTTTTATAGATTAACATTTAGAAGACCGTGGAACAATTAACACTAAAAGTCATCTTAACACATTTACTACTAATTGCAGGCGGATTTATTCTTGGCACCTCAGATATATTCTTCTCTTAAAAGATTCAACATTGACATGGTACGGTACTGCTGGCCTCTCTCCCTCTCTCTCTCTCTTCACGTATAGCAGTTTTTCCCGCAGATATATTCTTCTATTAAAAAGAATTGATATCATGTAAGAGAAAGTTATTCAAGCTGGTTTGTGAAGTACAATGCAGAGAATAGAGATACAAATGCACAGTCCTGGAACACGGAGATAATTCAACTAGGAGAGTTGAAGAGGAGTAGAGGAAATTTATTGAGGAATGAAACAAAGAAAAATAAGAGCATAGGGAGGTCACAAACATTGTTCGAAATCAGTAGAAAGGTTATGTCCATAAGAGATAGTGGAAGACGTATCATAGATAGAATTGACTTGTGAAACCAAATCACGTGGTCAGTTCCAAGTTAACTTCCTGATTAAGATCCGTGTAGAAGCCCTAGCAATCGCAAATTTTGAGTTATAGTCTACATTAGCTTGGAATGCAAGTTATGTAACCATATGTTGTCATGCCAAAGGACCACTTAACTTCCATGACCTTTTAAGCATCTTGAATTGATTCAAGAGTTCTATTTTATTGATTCAAGAGTTCTATTTTGTTCGTGTCCTTTTCTTTTTCACTTTCTTCTCCCGCTAATATCTTTTCTTTACAAAATGAGCCCGTCTACACTTCACGAAAGGCACTTCACAAATCATAGCGTAGTGTTATTTTTACTTCTTTCACATGCACGTGACCCACCCCGTGGCATCCTTTGGCACGTGATTTGCGATAATTCCCACTTCTTCGTGAATTTCGAGTTATATTGCTAATGACGAGTTTCCTTTTTAATTTTTATGCAGGCAAATTTCCCTCTTTTGTCCAGGCTGAATGAGGCATACAGTCAGCTACCAGCGTTTCAAGATGCTATGCCAGAAAAGCAGCCAGATAATCCTTCAAGCACCGGTTAGATAGATGCATTTGGAAAATTTGCAAAAAGTTGAAAAGACGAGATTGTCTTGATTTGAACTAACCGGATAAGAAGAGTGCTACTGCTAAGTATTTATTTGCAGACGAATGCAAAAGATTTGTGTTGATTATCTGTCAAATTCTGTGTGTTTGTCCGTAGTATTGTCTTTCTTATCCCAATATGAATATGTTGCTTAAAGTGGTTTGAACAGATGAAAGCTATATGTGTACATGTTGATTGTATGTGTGATGCAGAACAAGCTTTTGACATGAGGAATTTGCATTCAGTAGTTATCTATTAAGACATGTTTTATTATTAATATTATATTTTGAATTTAGGATTATATACATTTGCAATGTGTCACTGTTACGTGGTGGCGACTGAATTGGAGTCCGGTTTGTAGTCTGAATTTAGACTGCTCTCTTCTTCTTCTTTTCTTTTTTTTTTTTTTTTTTTTTTGGGAACAC